ATCGTCATTGTTGAGCTTTGCTTAGAGGTGGTTTGCAAATGACGAATTTCGAGCAGTCTCGCTGTCAGCACGATTTCCACGATGCAGAATCAGCACGATGCTAACCTCGTTTCACACTCAACACTGAGACTTCCGGGTATAATATCAAGTTACAGTGATAGTAACTTTAAAAGAAGATTCTTTAAAATAAAGTTTCAGCCTGCATTAATTAAAAGTTTCTCCATTAAAGTCACCAAAAGTAATAATATCAACGATAGAACATGTGTAACTAGAGTTAAGAGCGGTTTCGCAGTGAACAATTTCCAAGGTGAAAAAGATACTTTGCATCGAAGAATAATGGTTTTCCCGGTTACGAGATGATCCTCCATTATATAGACGGATCGAACGAGCTAGGATTTTCTCGCAGAGAAAAGCTCCTGCGAATTTTTATTCCCCCTTTTCCTACATCTTTTTAACCGCGACACCAAAATCGGCCATTGTTCCAAGTCCCTTTTGAAATTTTCGCAAGCTTTTATTCGCTATTTTTCAATTTTATTTTCTCACAAAATTCTAAAAAATTTATTCTAGTAGGTAAGTGCAAAATTGAAGGTTACGTTTGGTTTTCAGCAAAAATCGAATCGGCTAGCTGATACAATAGCCAATGCGGAAACAGACAATTTATCAGCATTCGGCATTATCCGGTTTGAGGGCGCGACCAAATGCGACCAAATATATCTCTAGATGTGCCAGATCGATAGCGTGTATTACGTAAGCAAAATTGTCGAAAGCCAGCAAGCCCGCTCGTGACCGAGGCAAGCTTTAACCTTGGCCTGCATTCGGCACTGCAGCTGCAGATGCACCAACACCGATGCACTGTCGCGCGCAAATCGTATATACACGTGCGTATTGTTTGTCAAAAACGACGATCTACTGTTTGTTTCAAAATTTGAAACATCAGAATTTTAACACTTTAATTACTACAGTAGAAATATCGACGTCTAATCAGACACAGAATAATATAAATTATTCATCTTTTTGATCCTGAATTTTTTCAAGAAACATACAAGAATTCCGGCGCATCAATTTTGAAAATCCCTGTACATCGAAACGCGGGGATTTCAGCTACTCTGAGTGTCTGTGTGCGAACACCCAGCTGGGATGTATTGTTTGCGAGCACACGTGCGTGTATAGATCGTTGGTGGCTGCAACCCTGCCAAGAATTCGCTTCTCCTTCACCCTTTCCCCGGGAGGGTGAGTTGATCTCACAGTTAAAGCGTCACTTCTTTAGAATCCGTGCACGCGTTCTAACCGCCTGCACGCGCCATTCTTCAACTTCCGGTTTGAATGAATGCATGAAGCGGAATCGCGTTTCTAATTCTAAAATCATTCTTTATCCGTGATGTTTTTCAAAAATATAAATCTGTACACCTCATTTAAATAAATACATCTTATTGATCCATCAAATTAATTGCAATTTCTCTGATCATTTATGACTCTACATCATTTGATCTGTAAAGTAGGAACGAGAAAAAGAATTTAATAAAAGTAATGTACAAATATTAACGTGAAACGGCATACTAGAAATGGTGATCGGTCGCAACAGAGTGCGTTCCGAGTGCTCAGGTGCATCCTGGATTTATGAAGCCGCTTAACAAGCCAGACCGCATCAGATCTCTCGTAGATATTGCAAAGGATTAGAAAACCATAATTCTCGATGATTAAATAGCGGAATTATTTACGGGTGGGGGGAGGAGATTTGCGATGGTAGCCAGCGTGTACACGGTTAATCACGGACCTTCGTTTATTCCGATTGCCGAGGGTAATTGACTCGCATCGAGTGAAATTAAACCACCTACCTACCTCTTCATCGAAGCAAAAACATTTGCTTTAACAGTTTCTGAACGTTTCCGATGAATATCCCGTACGTGTAGGCTAATGAAATACGGATAAACGCTGCAGGCTCTTGGCAAAAGCGCGAATGAAATCTCTCTGGATGGAGAGGGATCGTTATTTCCCCGTTGAATTCTCGAAACTCTGGCACAATGTTGTTGAAGGTGTTCGAGCAAAGCGAGTGTTTAGAAACCTAGCCGTTTAACGGAAAGTTTATTTTAAACTGTAGCCACGAAGCTTCGAGCGCTGCTACGAGTACTATCAAAATCATGTTTCAACGCCAAGTGCAACGCGGATGTTTAAAAAAGTGGGGAAAAAAAGTGAAGCTAACGAATACTTTGTAAGAACATGGCTGTTCCATTTACGAAATTATCAGGTCATTGCGTAAATCTTTTCTTAAAAAAAAAAAAAAAGATGTAATTTAACGGTTCGAAGAATCAAGCTATGGTCGATGGTAAGAACAATCGATGCCGGAAGTGTCTCCAGCGGGGAATTAAAAGTTAAAAGTCACAATCGGTGCACCGAAAGCCACGGTTTTATTGTCTTTCGCAGTATTTCACTCTCACCGATCCCGAGGTTCCCGATTGTTTTTCGGTAATTCGGAGTTACGTGAAAAGTATGAGGTGTTCCGGAGAGAAAAACAAGCAAAACCATCGGGAGAATCGATTCGCTAAGAGAAAAGAGAGAAAGCGGAACGATAGATTGATATTTACTTGGCTCTGAAACAGGCGATTCTTGTGTCCGTTAAAGACCATTCGGCGACAATACGAACTTCCAACACTTTTTCAATTTAAACTTTTGATATATTATTTTATATCATTAATGTAACAGTTATGAAATATAGAAATGTTCTCAATATAAAAGTGTACTTCAATTATCCTTATGCCAATTTACAGACTGACACATTTTTCTGAGAAAGTCTCTTGGTTAAACAGACGTTCGTGGTTCGAAATGTCCCATCCGTGGAGTTAAATGAATCGTCCCTAACAAGTCCAGAAATATTCCCCACGATCTCTAAGGAGACAGGCGGTAAAGTTCCAGCCGGTCGAGCGCTAAATAATCATCCTAACTCCCCTTGAAACTCTAAGCCGGGGTTGCAACGGAGGATAAATTACGGCCGTGGTATAATGGTCTTGGCTAATTTACGGGGGCAGAAATTAAAGTTTTTTACATAGATTTCCGCCGATTGCGAAGCTTCGTAATAACTCGCCCTCTCAGTTCCTTCTTACTCCTCCCCTATCCACATCATCCTCTCTTTTACTATGCTCTCGGCGCGTCTTCCGTCTCTCGGCTTAGGACACGCGAAATCGCCGGGGGCGAAATCCGATTCTTCGACCACGAGCCGGAAGAGGCTTGAAACTTTAACTGGGAAAGAAAGAAGGAAAGAAAGAAAGAAAGTGGGGGGTGAACAACGGGGGCAAGGTGCGCTCAGAGCACAACGAACGAAGGAAGAACTAATTGCACTTTTGACTAGTCCGCGAAGCAAGACGGAAACTCGGCATTAAATATTGCCGTGAACGGAATATTTCATTAAGTGAGCCCAGCCATCGCGAAAGTTACCCTCGCACCTGCGGTTTAACCCAGGCGTTATTCGCTTCTCGAGGGTGCTTCGCACCGGATTGCTCTCGATATTCCCCCCATTCCCCACGATATCCATCGATCAAGCAGAATCCGAGAGGAGCAAGTGAATCCGCCACGATTCCCTACAACTTCGACGAGTTTTCAATCCCATAAATTTACGAGGAAATACCGTCTCGAATGTAAATTGCTGTTATAACCGTGCCCGAACGATACAGTCGAGATGCATACATAATTGTGCGCAACGTTTCCACCGAAATGATTTATTCCAACAACGAGATGTAAACGAGACCATTAACATTTTCTGTTGTTTGTTTACGAGTCGCTAATTGGGCATGATGTATAAATAATTCTGACAATTTTTCGTGACCTAGTTTCAGAAAAATACAATCAATCGTTACAAAGAAATAAAAATATTAAACAAACGTAGTCGCTAATGACGTTAGCGATCGATGCGACTCCAAAGAGGAAATAAATTATTCATCGAGAAAGACCTATCAATAAATCATTTCACTTTTCTCTGACAGAATTTCCCTTCGATTCCTCGTTGTTAAATACCAGGAATCTACGTCAATATAGAACCGAACAAAGCTCGAACGATCGATCGAACGAGTCACAAAGGTAAATGGTACAGTAAAGCACGTTAAAATAACACGTTACAATCGTAGTAAAGTTCCGCGAAGCATTTAAAACGGAAAGTTAGCGTCTCGAATGGAAATCTCGAGGGGTGACACGATCGATCCCCGGATTTCTCGATTCCGAACGCTAACTCAATCTTCCGGCAACGCTCAACTGACTTTAACCGAACGCGCAAATCAACGAGAGGACGTTGTTGTATTCGAAAACACGAGGGTGAATAGAGGAGGATTGTTACTCGAGAGCTTGGGACATAATGTGTCCAAAGCAATCCTGTCTCTGGCAGCCGGACCAATTCGATAAGCCCTTAATCCATCGGCAATTAGTCCGCACGGTGGCCACCGCAACCCCTTCGCAGTTGCTCCGCTTCCGAAATCTCTCCGCCACCCCCTCGTAAACGATCACCGTCTTCGTCTGTCTCGTCCAATAACGTCCCCTCGTCTCCTATCTCCTCTTTGTCGCGAGCTAATTCAACAGTCTCTGTGATTGTATAATTAACCAACGCAACGGTTTGTGTGTATTTACGCACTCGGGACGCAGTTGCTGCTTGCATAAGCTGTTCGCGAATCAAGTACCTTGGACGATAACGAAAGTTGCTGAAATTCTTTCGCGTTCGCTTTATTTTGCGCTCGCTTCCCTTAATTTTCTACCATTCGAATTTAAAAAAAATAAAAAGATTCGCAAAGACACGTATGCCGACGCTTATTTCCCGAAGCGAACCGAAAGAGTTTTTCCACGTGGAAAAAGAGACGCGAAGACGAAACGGTAGAAAGAGAAAGTAAGGATACTTTGCGCTTGGAAAATAACACACGTAGAAAGAAAAGGAAAGAAAAATACTTGAAACGAGAACGAGAGAGTGGCGGTACTTCGCGCTTTCGTCGTAAAAGTAAAGAAAAGCATGCTTCGAAAGAACTCACCGTGATACGTCCTCCTGAGAAACAGCTCGTGGGGTGGCCGCGCCGTGAAGAGCCAGAGAAGACGCGTGACGTGATTCTTGCGAGTAAGGCAGCGTCGAGTTGTTCTCCAACGCCGACACAGAACCATTTTGTTTCCCTGTTTACGAAAGAAAGCACGGCTAATTTAGAAGTTTCCTTTGACGAGCGACTTTTCGCTCGTTCCCAGTTTGCACCGGTAATACTCTTCGCCTTGACGAATTTATATTTAAATCGTACGATTCATAAAACGTTCGTGTTATTGATCGACAAGAAATATTCTTGAAACATTAAAACGCTTTAAAATCTAATTCGAATGCAGAGATATAAATCTAGCTCGGCGCTTGCAATTTTCGAGCGTTTCGCTTGGCTAAACGAGCAGTCGTTGCAGTGTTTTTCGCAAAACAGAGAGGAGTTTTACGAGGACGCCTTTACGAGCGCGATGAATAAGTTACGTCCGGCGTGATCGCGACGCGGACAGGAAACCATGAGAATAGCGGGAAAACTCGGGGGAGGATCAAAAATTCATTTCGATGTTACCCCGTGGAAAAGCGGAGAATCTTTATATTTCGCGTTCGATGCCTGGGAATCGAAGGAAATTTCGAAGCGTTTAAGCATCATAAAAATCGTCGTTTAACTGAACGTCTTCCCTTGGGACGATTATTTATCGAAAGAAAATTTTCAAATATTTCTTCAAAACACTTTAAATCGTTCGTATTTTCACTTTCAAAAGAAGGGAAAAAGAGTTTCCCTCGTGTGCTGCGGTCGCGAACAAAAGTAACCCCCTCTCCAACGCTTTTCCGAGGTGCGTGAAATATTTATCGTTCCGGAAGGCAGCGTCGTGAAAATTCGAGAAGAAAAGATCCCGAGAATGTCCCGAAACGACGGGGAAAGAAAGTCGTCTACACGAAAGTGAATAATATATGTGTGAATAGAATATGGAGACCAGCTTACGTGGTTGTGGAGAGAGCGAATTGTCCGAGGCCATCGGGGGTGGTGGCGGGGGTACAATTCCGGTTTCCGGTTTCGCCACAAGAAGAACCACGCGATCCTGGGTCGCTTTTAGTGTCGCCACTGCTTCCTCGTGCGTCACATTTTCCAGGTTCTTGTCACCCTGCTGGAATCAAATCAATCCTCTTTTTTATCCTCTCTTTGGACAAACTAAAAAAAATTTTACCCAATTCTTATAATTATATAACCAGTCCGAACTTTGTTTCAGCTTTGTCAAATTTGATTTAATGAAAGATACATTTTTTAATTCTCCGAGATTTAACGCAGTATCATCCCGTTGTTTATCATCTTTTATTAAAAACGTCACGGGTGTCAGAGATACCCGAACGGACATGGCAGGCACAGAGCTTTAATCGTCGTTCTTCCTTCGCGTAAAATATTTCTCTTCATTCATCAACACCGTCCATTCATCTTAATTTTCTCACGCATTCTCTTTCATCCTTCCATCGTCTACATTCTACATTTTCCAACGGGCAAAGTGTGAAAAAAGAGGAGTCGGCCAGGAAAATGCAAACCGGTCTCTCATGGTGCACGTATTGATCAAGATTTCGCGAGCCTCGGTAATTGATTTCTCCCGTTCAATTACTCTTGTCAATCAACGTTCGTTTACCTCTTACGATGCACTTCCAGACGGATTATCGAATAAACACATCGTGATAATTTTCTCACGACCGTCGCTTAACCGTTTCGACGTCGAATATAAGAAATTTGCGAGTTTAAATTGTTCGGTTCGTAGGTGGTAATTATCAAACCAGGGTTGACGGGCATAAAAAACGACATCGGAAAGTTTCTGCACCACGTCATAAACAACTGACGAACTTTCTGCAACGCTCGTTGTTCTCAAGTATATGCCGATACGCAATCATGTAGAAAGTTAAATCGACTTGCGATTCAGCGTATAAAGTGCTTTAAAAACTTTTTAACAAATCGTCCTTCGAAACGTCCAAGTTTGATCTGTTACGTATTCTGTCATTTTTCGACAGGGCTTATATTCGATAAAAAAAACACAAAAATTTCTATTTTCGACATCGATAAATTACCTCGGAAAATATTGCTCAGATAATAAGTTATTAAAAATTTTTATTTACCAAACGCAAAATAACGCGTCCATCACGGGTATATTTGAAAATTTTAATTTAAAATTATCAAACAGGACAATCAGCTGACGCTGATTAATGAAACGTGCTTCGGACATTAATTTTTAATTATAATTTATCACGTAAAAAGTAATTTTTGAATGGTGGAATGTTTTAACAACTGGTCGTGAAAAATCATGATTTAATAGAGTAACGAAGAGACGTTGAGATTTCTGCTTTATGATTTTCGCACGTTAGAAATTGTGGCTATAAATCAAGGGGGCCGATGGTGGCCGCTTTAATCGTGGCTTTTTCGGTCGCGAGTCTCAGGAGAGGATCCGCGCGAAGAAAAGGGAGCTCGGCGAAGCGAAAAATCGCAGGAAGCTGAGAAACGACGAGGCTTGCCACTCGCAACCACGGCAACGAGCCGAGGCACACTGACGGAAGAGCTATCAATTACTCGTCGCCATCAAAAACCACTCTGATCTATTTTTCGCGCCGCCCTCGCCTGCGCGCTTGTGGGTCATTGAGGTATCTGGGATTTTTCGAAATTCCACTATCTCCGACGTAATACCGCGATTTATAACGATCAAATTAATGCCCTGCTTTCATCGTTCCGTTGAAAATTTATTGGCTTCTTTTCTTATTGAAAGAAACCGAGATCGTTAAAATTAGACAAATTGAATTTGAACTCTGGGAGCTTCGCGTTGCTTTTTCAACAGGGATGAAAAATATATCATCTCTCCCTCTTTATTCGAACGAGCGATTTAAAGGAAAATTAGACCAATTAAGAGCAGTCTTCTTTTTCAGACTAATTATTCAAGGAATGAAGAAATCTAATGGCTGACCTTTTCTTATTAACTCATATAAGTTTGAAACAAACCACGCACGTTCCGAAGGTCAGTATTAAGTAAAGACCGAGATATCGAGTCGTTGAACGTAAAGATTGCAGTTTACATTAATTTTATCGTTACAGAGCGATGTAACACGGAATGAAATTGGGGCGAAGGGGAATATAATTTTGCACGAACTCACCAAAGCATTCCTGACGGCTACCAATTTGTCTCCAACGACAAGACGGCCATCCACTTGAGCAGCACCGCCTTCCATAATTTTCGTTACGTAGATCCCATTGTCACCGGGAATATGCTGATTGCCAATACCCCCAGCGATACTGAAACCGAGGCCCTTGTTACCCTTGATTAGTTCGATTTCGATCAGCTGCGTGTGTCTTCGTCGTCGTACGTACTGAAAATCAATCAACAAATTATTTAGATTACAGAAGGTTAAATGAAATTTCTCAACAATTAATTACTGTAATATAATATTCGCCGTAAACCTCTAATTTCCCGCGGTACACAACACAAAAGTGAAACTTCTTATTTACTGGATCTCAAGTTGGTTGAATTGAGGCGAGTAGAATTTACGTTTTCACGAGGTGCTTTACTATTCCGGAGTAAATCGGGGTGGTTTTCCTTCACGAGAGGCGCAACAATGAATCCACGTAATTAAACGCCCGTCTGATACTCGACCCGGAAGAAAATATTCTATCTTACACAAGTGTTTCCTTTCTTGTTTATCCATGAAATTTATGCGACGCATTCATTTTAAACAATCATACCGTTCCTAAGAATTTTGTCACGATTAACCTATTTGATTAACCCTCAAATGATGGAGTTAATAAATTATTTTTCTAAATATTATTTTTGCATTCTTTTTTCCCTTCTCCTATCGGCAGTGGACAAAGGAAAGATTTTTATATACCCGTAATATGAATGGATTAATTTCATAACGCATCGTAAGCCCCATTGGTGAACGAAGAGCCGGAAGATTTAAAACAAACCCGCTCGCTCCACCAATGAACGCGTTAGCATTTGAATAGGCGAGTTCAGCTCGCCAAGCGGTTCGTGAAAGCCGGGCACGAAATGCGAGCAGAATAAATTTCCTCGCGACGCAACCGGCCGGTGTTTAGCCGTGGCTGTGCTCGAAAAAATATTGTTTTCCAAAGGTGGAGAGATTTTTTGAATCTACCTCGGTCGCCTTTTTATCTTCTCTTTTTTTTCGTCCGCGTTATTAACCATTTTCGAGTGGCTAGAAAACAGAAACTGGGAAAGCGTAAAACCGTTTACAACCCGGGGGATTATTATTTCCTAGCACGAAGTCAGCTTCGTTGCAATACCTTCGAAACATAGAATCCCTGCAAAGATTCGACGCGGTTGAAACTTTTGAAAGGGCAATCCTGCTATATGTATCAACGATTAAATTATTTCATTTATATCGTGTTTTCAGTTTCCCGGCGAAAAGAAAGTTTCATTTCGAGCATCAAACTTTACACGATGAGATATAGAGAGAATTAGAGAAACGCGAATGGCGAAGATTATTTCAGGTAGAAAAGAGCGAGGGAAGCTCGGTTTTCCGCAAGATATACAGCCGGCATTGTCGTCGCTTGCGATTATCTCGCGTCAAGCTACCGGATAATAATTGGACGTCTGAAACGGATTCTTTCCAGCAGACTCAGCTTCATTGTTCGCGAAAGATCTTTCAAATCTCGCGCCATTTATTCCACGCTTTCTCGCCTTCCGTTTTTTTTTTTTTCTCCTTTAATCGCTGTTATTATCGAACGTCATTGTTTTTATATTTAAAGAAATAATAGACGGAAATGGAGATACCATCTTTCGCCATCGAATGCGACGAATAAAAGCAAACATATGTTTAACGAAATTTGATAAAACTTACTAATTTAACGGTGTTTCCTGCTCGTTTGAGCGCATCGACGGCCGCCGCGTGTGGCACGTCCACGACGGAGACGTCGTTCACCTGAAGTATCGTGTCGTTGACGCGCAGACGGCCGTCCGCGGACGCGGCTCCACCGGGTATAAGTTTCGTGATGTAAATGGCAGTGTCGTTGCCGAAATGTGGATTGTCCGTACCCCCGGCGATGCTGAAGCCAAGTCCAGCGCCACCCCTCTCGAGCACGATCTCCTCGTACTCCCAGTCATCGTCTCCGTTCACCTGTATCAATAAATTTCACCAATCAGATTAATGGGAAATTATCAAAAATATTGCTATAAAATTTAGGAACACTCCGTGTTTGGTCCTGTGATATTTCAGGGTGTGTAACGGGACACTTTAACACTTTGGATAATTTATCGACACCGAGATTTCAACCCTTTCAATTTAATTTTCTTCGAGGGAAATAGAAATTTTATTCTATATACCGAGTCTCCAACTTTCGAATGGTCTACGAGGAAGGAAACAATAAGAGTTAAAACCGAGAGCTAAGAACAGAGCGTGGAGCAATAGGAAGCGCAGATTACACCGGTAATCCGGTACGGGTCAGTTCCTAATTACATGAGGGACTATGCGTCCCGCAGAGTGAACGAGTTAACTGGTTAATTGATTTTGAGACCCGCAGAGGAGTAGATTAGGTCGTGGAGTAGGTTGGACGGATCGATGGTGTTCGGTTATGGTGGTTATTGTGCTAATATCGTGTAATAACGTTAGAATTCTGTATCGCACCTGTACACCGACCTCTGTCACAAAGGAAAGCACTTTCGAGAATTTCTCTGACAACAACGAAGCAACCTAACTCTGTTTCTTTCTTTTTTGAAAAAAAGAATCTCGGAAACCTTCCCTGCGCTTCCAATACGCAACAGCTTGATTAAATCCGATTTCTCATGCAGCCGGTTCGAAGAAATGGATACACTTCGAACCCCAGATACCTTCGTCCTGTCATTTCTCATGTCTTTTCAGCGCAATCTTTCGCAAGATTGGACGTGATACTTTGCACGAATCGCTCGTCTGCGTTTCCGATTAAAATAGCGTATTCCTCTTCAGAACCGATATCTAAAATGTATTTCTTTTCCACTGAAGTTGGAGTACTAAAAATACCGAAACGTTGGATCTCGTGTCAAGACTTTAATGTCACGAAACCAAATCATTTTTCATTTTCCATTATCGCGACAAGTTTGTTAACGTATAATTCAAACGTCAAAGCTGAGAGGTCTATCGAGGAAAGATTAAAGCAACTAGCTATCTAGAATCTAATTAGAACGTTGAATCGTTTCAGCGATCTAACGTCGGTGAATCGACGCGGAGAATTCGGAGCTGCAAGCTCGAGACGCATTGCGAAATGCACATTCCAGTATGCCAGTTGGTATCGCGAGGAGCAACCTGCAATCACGAACTCTACGACAGATTTGATGCACGCGGCTGCATCAGCACATATTGCCGGCAGAATCGCGAATTAATCGTGCCCGAATTACCATTCTATGGAGCCGAACCTGAACAGATGGAACGCCGTAAGGGTCGTTAACGGAAGTCCCCGTTACACCCTGTAACAGTTCACCGACATAGGTGCTACCACGTTGACGTTACGATGCAATTATGGCAACGTACTGTCCCCCTTGGTTAATCGACGATTAGCGACTCTGGCTCGGTGAATGGAAACGTTAATTAATCCGGCTAACGCTGCTGTCAGAAGAACCGGTACTCGCACGGTCAAAGATTAACTACATCGTGGCTGTAGCTAGTGATGAGCAATTTAGTATCACGAATTATCAAACGATTCGATCGCGGCACAAATTTCGAATCATTTTCATATTAGAAATCAATAATTTTTAGAAAATTTCATTTACCATTTTATGCGGTACGTTCACCATAGCAGATGTGATCGCGTATCCAATGATTTGAACAACATTTTACACACCACCGATAACGATTAATAATCCACCGAGTTTTCACTCACATTCGTCGAGTGCACTTAGAACAATGAGTGTCAAAATCACACACTAATCTCCAAAGATTCAGAGTTACATAAAACTGTTGTCTCGCTTCGAAATTGAAGCGCTATTACGTCGACGGTTCAACGTTCACCTCATTTTTATTGCAATTTGCGAAAATCTGTAACGCGAGCCACTTTTTGCCGCGATGAAAATAATGCATAAATCATCGGCGTTATTCGCCAGGGGAACGTATTATCGAGTAATAATCGGTATCGGAGCGTTGCGTAATATCGCGGAAAATTCACACCGGAAGATTAATACCCCGCCGTCGTTTGCACAAATTCAAATACTCTATAGGAACACGGTGTTGCGACACGAGAACGGATATTTTTTCATTTTTCATAAAAATATTCTAAAAGCGAAGCAGAAACACGCGATACGACCTGAAATTTTCGAGATCACAACTATCGTTACACAAATTTCTAGCCAACAATTAACAAACACAGATCCGTCGGGTCTTCCTTTAACACTGGAAATCACGAAACTGCGACAGTTCTGTCACAATGGAGGAGAGAAGTAACGTTATCCGGTCGCGTTCTCTAAGCGTAACACGCTCGAAACTGGCAGCCGTCTCGAACGCGACTCGACTCTGCCCGCTAGCTGGTGTTCGCGCTCTGCCAGTCATCGCTATTATAATATTAGACCAGTGGCCGGCTATTTCCAACCGACTGTGAAAATATACGAACGGCACGCGTGAAGAAGACACGGATCCACCGAAATAAGCGGTTCGTGGTCAGTCACACGGCTGCGAGCCAGATAACCGTCGAGATTTATCGCTTTCGATCGTCGATCGTTTGAATCGCGATCGATTCGCTCGGAAAAGTTTCCTTTTCTCTTTTATTTTCGGTACAAACGTGTCTGGCTTTGCTGTTCCGGGATTTTTCCACGCCGATCGGTTCGAAGTATTTTAAGGCACAGAGCTGTGATCCTTCAACACTTCAACTTCAACTTTATGCTCTTTTTTTTTCGTAGAATTATATCTGACTTTTCGTGATATACGTTTTAGTTGTCCATTAATATATGTTCATTAATTAAACTGAACTTCATGAAATTATTTTCATCCCAGGTTGGACATGAAGTTTCAGCATAAAGGTCTGAAGACTGAGAAGGTTTAAAAGTTTCCGGTTTAATTATTCATTGCTAGGAGATGGGAATATTAATAAAGAGCCGTAACAAGTACAAGGGGACTATATTGAAGAATAAAGTATGTTACCTTAAATTCCCGCCTGTAAATCTGAGTTAAATCAGAAACTTTATGTACCCGAAATAGAGTTCATCAAAAATTTTTCTTCGTCAATCTATGAAACGAAATTAAACCACCTGCGTTTATATAATAAAATTTCGTAAGATTGTTGAATTCGAGGAGGATCGGAGAGCGGATCTCCACGTGGGTTGAATGGACACGACGTTGAAGAGCAACACGGTGGTCCCGGAATCTTGGCTCGGGAAAGCGCAACGGGTTGAATTCGTGCCGTTCGTGTTTCGAATTAACATCGCGACTCGGAACCGACGGCTATATTCGTTGGCCTTTGTCGGAACGCGGCTCGGTGAAACCCGGGTAAAGATAGCCACGTTTCGTGGCAAATGGTCGTGACAACCTTGAAAATAATTATCAACCATTGCGCGAACCTCTTTTCAACCGATGTCAAAGAAAAATACACAGTTTTTCCTGCGGTCACAGATGAAAATTTAATTAAATTTCATAGACTTCCCGTCATCGTAGCCATTTCGGTGAACAATAAAATTTTCTCGGAAGAAGCCTGATAGCCTACGTCAGAAATCGCATCGTTGTAGGGTGGAAAAGTTTATAGGCAGCTTTCGCCCGACTCCAGGGTGCAAATTCCACGGAGCGATTCAACGCAGCCACCGGTTTAACGACGAATGAAATTACCGGGTGTATCCGACAGGAATACCTCGGTCCTCGCCCTCCGCATCATAAATAGCAGATTCTCCTAAAAAGGGGTTGGAAACCGGGAACCGCGTTATTAAAGGTGAGATGACGCGCATCGACCCCGTTTACGTCCCGCGTCGTTCGCAAGTGGAACAACTATTTAAAACCTTAAGAATCTAATTAATTTTTCATACCTCGAGACGTCTAACAATAAGAAGCATAAACGTCAGCAGTCTAATTGGCCGTGTTTAACAAGAAATAATAAAACTTGGGAATCACGAGTTACTCGGAGGATTCTCCGGTTATTAGGATATCAAGGCGAGCGCAGAAGTTCCGTGCTCAGGTAGGGATATTAATTTCACGCGTCGGAATAAATTCAAGCGACAAGAAATTTGCTTTTAAACTTAATACTTCCTCGTCGTTGGGTTGGCCAAGTCGGGCATATATATTACGTACTAAAGTAACGCAGGTAAGGTAAACGCGTAAGGTGCGTGCAAAAGGCGAGAAACCGAGTCGCGTTAAGCGGAATTAACGCGAGAGAGGTAACTCGAGCTACTCGCAACACGCAGCCACCTTTTGTCTTAGGAAATTAAAACGAAAAGACTCGCTTCCCTCTCGTGTTCTCTGCGTTTCACGACTGCGAAACCCCTTCGTGAGCGTCAAACCGTCGGAAATATTTCATATTCTTGACACGAATAATAAAGAGAAAGATACCTCTCAACCTCTTCTCTTGAGTTTTAATTAAAATATTCATGCCTTTTGATAATCATCGGGTAAAACATCAATTTCTCGATATCTAATGTATCCACACGTATTTTTATGCCGTAAAAACGGATGAATATGTACGTAAGAGGAATAGAATTGAAAGCGTTACAGTGTTGATCGCACGATGAGACTGAATGAACGACGCGAAAACGTATCGCGTTTACCATTTGGAAATGGAACGTGCGTAGTTGCCATCACGTGCAGAACGACTAGTTGCATCAATATTAAACATCTGCTGGGCACAGATTTGTGGCACGCATCTCCATGAAGCAATCGAGTATCGCCCGTGTACTTGACACCCGACGAGCGACTCGGGATCAAGTGGTTCAAGTGGTTTCGGCTCGTGAATCACGTTCCTCGGATAATCATGTACGATGATCACGCGTGGAACAGTTTACAATGATACAACGAAACATTGCGCTACATTTGTACATCAAGAGAAAATTGAAAAATTATATTATTTCGAGCTTAATTCGCAAAGTCAATTCGCGTTCAATTTTCCCACGTTCAAGGAATTTGCCGGCCGAGAATGACCAGACGCGTCGAAAAGGAGAAGGTCGCCGTTTGTCGGG